GGTTATATCAGATACTTAAAATAAAATCAACTTTATATCAAAATTGGATTTACTAATTTTGTCAACTTTATACCAAAAATGGTCATTTCTACATTTTGTCCAAAATATTTTTTAGCAGCACATAAATGTTATTTATATTTTTGTATTTGATTATCTTGTCTACAAAGAGAAAGATAATCTTGCAACTCTACTATGCCAACAAAAAGATGTATGAAAAATAACATAAGTATTAATTTATTATGTTTTACTCAATACATGAAATATAATATAAATATAAAGATTAACAATTAATTCTCTATAATTGCTCAATCAAGTCTATATATATTTAAACTAAGGATTTCGAAAGTTTCTATAATGCTCCCATATTTGTTTCCATAAAACTAAATCATCCTAAATTTAATTCAACTAATAAAAGGTAATAACCATAAATATTTGACTAAAAAGATTATGTACATTAATTACATTGATTTTTGGTAATTTACTATTTCTAGACAATAATTAATGAAATTGATGGGAAAGTTTTCTAAAAGTGAATTATGTTAATCCTTATTATATATTAATATATATATATATATATATATATATATATATATATATAGGTTTGATTATTTTTAAAATAGTAACTATTTCCCGTAAAAAAAATGTTGTTTACTAATTCTGGAAATTTTTAAACATTTTATGTTATGTTTTAAAAATATAAATAGGTAATTAGGATAATTAATTAAAATAATAAATCACATAAAAATTTCTTTTGTATCTCAAGATATTATATCATATATTTGTACCTAAAATATCAAAATCTATCACATTCTAATAAACATTAAATTTACTTATATATTTTAAACTAATCACATCAATAAATAATATTAACATACATTCAGTATTTACCATAATATAAAAAAGAAATATTACTCCTATAAATGGTATAAATAATATTGACATTATACGACAATAAATTTTTCAATAAAGTAATATTTGAGTATTATAATAAAATATGTAAAATTATTATTTTTTTTGTATTAAAAAATAAATATATATGTTAAAATGTTATTTATATTAATATAGACAGATTAACGGGCTAATACATTGTTTGCAAAAATATTTTACATTACGAAATTCTCGTGCATCACACACATGATTTTCACTAGTATATATTCTTACATTTATCACATATCTATTCAACTTCTCAATTCCATTTTCATTCTTTTAATTTATTCCGCTCTCATTTTATTATAACTTAAAACAAAATATCCAAGAACACAATATATATAAACCATTCAATCATATAAGTTAAACTTTTAGAATTATATGGAACCAATCAGATACAAACCCACCAATGTGTGAAAATTGACATTTGACTAACTATTTTTTAGCGCTTTTTTAACATGACCTGCCAAAAAGCAGTGATGTCCACGTAATTTTAGGTTCTTTTGATTGTGATTCGGGAAATGCTACAGTCTTGTTACTGTACTATTTCATTAGATATTTTAACTATGGTATCATTTATCTTATCTAACTATATGTAGATTCAACGGTTAAAAAACCCGACGAGATGGTATCGTAACGGGATTGTAGCATTTCCCCTTTATTTGAATCATGCAATTGAAGATCGTACAAAAAAAGGATAAATTGCGCCAAACCCCCCTGTATTATACGAAATCTGCACGTTATCCCCCTGTATTTTAAAAATTGCGTCATACCCCCTTGTATTATACTTTTGATTGCGCACGCTCCCCCCGCCTCGTTTCCGTGTTAACCCCGTTAATTTTTTGCTTAACTTCCCGTTATGCCTTCAGAAACAAACAATTACAGTAAGTCTAAAAAAATCTCTCTCAGATCTTGAACCAATGATAGTAAAAAAGGAGTCTCTCCCGGAAAACCTAATTCCCCATTCCGCCGCCTCTATCGTCTCGCTTCTTCCTGAATTTGTACAACCTTCTCATCGGCTAGCAGGACTCAGGCAATGGTCGGCCCTTGGCCGCACGTCCTTGTCCCCGCTCGTGCGCCCTTCGCCGTTCGCTTAGGCCGGGGGTTGTGGACGACTGGCAGTCGCCGGGTTCTCCTAATTAATATGGTGTCGGTTGATGATGGCAGTTCGTCGACATCTCTGTGGTTTGGGCAGATTTGGGTGGGGTGTGGCTGCGAGGACGAGGCGTGGCTCGGGTTGCTTGCGGCTTCCGTGGCTAGGAATCCGGTGCTGAGGTATCTTTCTTGTTCTCCTTCTTCTCTGATTTTCGGTTTGAGAAGAGTCTGGTGTCGTCGGACTGGACCAGTGGTGTTGGTCTGGTCTGGGGTAGTGGTGGTGTGGGGGCAAGGATGGTGGTCCTCCGGCTGTGGGCCGATTCAACTCTCGGGTGTAGTTTGGGGCTTGGGGTG